GGCGCGCTTGCAACAGCGGTTGCAGATTACCCCAGGGCCCAGCGACTCCATCCAAACCGTTGGTCGAGTCGCTAGCAGCATCCAAAATGGAGAAGGTCTCCGGTGACTCCATGACGGCCCCTTTTCGGGGTGCAACGTAGAGGGCTTTGGGAGCAAACGGCGCAGGAGGGTGCTATCGCAGACGAGATTGGCAGCTCTAGGGGCGAGACTCAGTTTGCCAGCGGGCAAATCAGAGCGCGGGGTCGCAGCGCAATTTGGCACCACACCTGAGGCCAGCGGTGGGCAACCGCCCCTCCGAGCCATCCTCTGCCATCCAACTTCGCCAACGCCGGCTGCACTCGAATTCTGCTCCGCCAACCCGGAATTGGACATGACCTGCCACCCCTGCCGCCATCCTGTCAATCCTAGCGATTCTGTGTGGATCCAGCCTCGTCCCAGCGTTGCTGTCCACCCACTCTTGGGATGAGCACGCCTTGCCGGCAGCACCGTCGTTAATCTCCCGGCCAGAAGAGCAGGTGTTTGCTGGTCGCCGCGCCGATGAAGAACGGCCCCCGCCCCCCCTTCCTTGAGAGGAGGAGGGTATTTAGGGACGACCGTCCTCTCTTCCGGAGCCTCTCTTCTCTTTTTCTCCTCAGCCCAAAGCCAATTCAGCTCCTGAGTACTCTTGACTTCGGTCGTCCATTCTTTCAAAACAACTTCCCAAGCTTTTCAGCTTCAGTCACTCTTTAAACCAACCCAACCTATACCCCCTTTTTCGTTACCGTACGAATTCGACCCTACACAACCTTCAAGATGCGTTTCTCCGCTGCCTCCGTCGTTGCCGGCGCTGCCGTTGTCTCCGCCTCGTACGTCCCTGACGTTGACCTCACCGTCTACTCGACCAACGTCGTCACTATCACCTCGTGCGCCCCCACCGTCAGCGACTGCCCCGCCGAGTCCACCGTCGTGTCCAGCACCGTCATCCCCTACACCACCTCGACCGTCTACGCCACCACCACCTACACCGTCAAGGATTGCCCCCCGGCTGTGACCAAGTGCCCCTACGACTCCACCATCGTCGTCACCGAGACCATCCCCGTCTCCACCACCGTCTGCCCCGTCTCTGAGCCCATCCCCGTTCCCACCGGCTCTTGGGGCCCGTGGCCCGGCAAGAACTCGACCGGCGGCCACGGCCCCTACCCCGGAAAGCCCGGCAAGCCCGACCACGACGACCACCCCAAGCCCACTGGCGCCCCCGTCAAGGAGCCTGAGCAGTGCTGGCCCAGCAAGTCGGTCAAGACCATCTCGACTTCCATCACCACCGTCATCCCCACCGTCATCTACGAGACCGTTGACGTTCCCTGCCCTACTGTCGTGCCCGTCCCTACCGGCTCGTGGCCCGGCAAGCCCAGCAACGGCACCGTCACCAAGCCTCCCCACGCCAGCGTCACTGCCGGCGCTGCCACCATGGGCGGCTCCCTCTTCCTCGCCGCCGCTGCCGGCCTCGCCGCTGTCGTCCTGGCTTAAATCCAGCCCTGACAGACGAACTCGTTATCCTTCACTTTCTCGCATCATAATCAGCCTGGGAGGCTACGGCATTTCACGACCACGCTACGGAATGGGGGAGGCGCTTCTCGGCAGAGCCAAGGCATAGCATTTCAAGCTACTTTGGATGTCTAGCATTAATGGCAAAAAGAGATACCAAATGTATTTAACTTCTAATTGTATTTTTTTTGGCGCTTCTGGTGCTTTCGGTACATAGCCAGCCAAGAGCGTCTTTTTTTCTTGTAAACCAAAATGATGTCCCAAATGGTTTTGTTTCCATCTTGTGATTCATTTGTGTCTGCCTGCGCTCGTTTCATTCCATTGCCTCTGTTTGCTTCCGTCTGTTTGTTGGGAAAACCTCACCCGAGGTTAACATCTCAACCAGGGGACCAGGGGGGACTCCCAGGGGTAGGGTCGCATGGCTGAAATGACGCTCGGTCATTGGCTCCACACCCCAGTGGCCTGCCTCATTTGGTAGATCGTCCTTTCCGGGTTTAGCACTGACTTTTTTTGGGCAGTCAAAGGTGGATGACCCGCATGTGGGTCGTTTCAAACAAGCGGCATTTTCCCGGTGGCGCTGGCAAATCCTTGGGAGCTTTTTGGGTGGGACGAGCAACGGCGCCGTGGTGGTGATGGTGGTGTGGGGAAGCAAGAGAATGTTTGTGTTCGTGCAGTGCGGTGTGTGTGAGGGATGACCATGTGGGAGCCCGAGCGAAATGAGCAACACGACATGGCGAAGATGTTTGGATGCGAGTGCATATTGGGTCAATGTCGCGTGCCTACGCACAGTCAGATGGGTGTCTGTATGGCGATATTGCGGGAGATTTGATTGGGATGGGGCAATGTTACGCAAAGGGTCTCGTCTTGATTGCATGTGTAGATGGGGGTTTGTTTTTTTCTCGGGGGGAGAGTTGGGTTGATGATGGGCTGGGATGGAGGTGGTTTTGCGGAACGATAAAATGGATGGCTGCTGGTTGTTGAAGGCACCGTCCCGACTTGACTTTCTGCTCCCGGTGGGTTTACGAGCTTCAGTCTTTTCACACCAAGCGGTGTGGTCGGCAAGACTCGAGGAAGCACTAGTAGTGCTGTCCTGGGAAACTTAGGACGACGACAAGGGTCTACATAGTAGGTGGTTCTTCGACAAAGGACGTCTGCCTCTCCTAAGGAGGGCCGACCGACTTGTCTCCCAGCTCACGTCTTCACCTTTTTTGCTTCTGCGTTGCGCAGGGTTCCATGTCGACGGGTGTTGAAGCTGGCCACCAACACTCCCCAGGGCTGATCTGCTACAAGACAATCCATCTTGTCTCATTCCTTTGTCTCTCTCCTGGTTATACCAATTTCATTGCTTCTGCCACAACTTGACAGCGCCTCATTTCTCAGCCCACGACTGAGACTCGAAGTTTCGTTCAGTTTCTCTCCCTCAATATCGGACCTCGACATCGGACCTCGATTTGTTTTCGCCGAGTGGCCAGCAATCGCCGAGCGTTCCCGTCTTCAGATCTTCAGAAACACAACAGAAGATGCTCCGGCACAGCCCTGCGGCTTTATGCTGTCTTCACTACCGGGAGCGAGTGCGCCCAAAATAAAACACCAGGAAAGTCTCCGCGGTCGGAACCGAGCCGGCCGCAGACGACGGCAGGGCTCTGCTTCCACGTATGCCTCACCCGGCAGACCCAAACGACGTGGTCCATTAACACGGCTCTGATATCGACCGATCTTCAAAAACTGGGCATTGAGAAGGTTTGCCATGGCGGACGGATTCGTCCATGTCAAGAAAAGTGGTGGCGGCTAAACTCACAGGCTGCCGTGGACCTCCGCTTTTTGGGGCGGCGCGGCCATATCCCGCCCGATGATGAAAGTGCGGAGGAGAAGACGCGCGGGATTGAAAAATGTGTCGTCAGCGGAGGAGGCGGTCGAAGAAATCTGCTTCTGTTGAGTACAATGTCGGGTTCGTCGATGAGGTTGACCAGGTCACATATCAGTGGAGAACCACCCGCCAGCGACAAGACAGACGCCTTCCAAGGTGCCCTCGATATTCCTGGACTCTGAGTCCGTTCGTTCTTTACTGTTTTCCTGCTGCGTTAACCTTTCTGGTTCTGGCGAGCCAAGAGGCCAAGAAGCGCGATATTCCGAGTTTCTAGGGAGAGAAGATGCATTTTACTTCATGTCTCTTTCGGGCACTGGCGCTGGTTCTCGCCGCTGCCAACGTCAACGCACAAGACAACAACCAGAGCATTAGCCCAACTGCCGAGACAAGTCCGAGCACAGTTGAGAGCAGCAGCACAGTTGTGACGACCCCGACAGCAGTCACCAAGGTCGTACACCTGTTCTTCATCGACGAGCGATCCTACGAAGGCCTTCCCTATACCCTCTTGCACCGAGATTCCGGCTCCGTGGCCAACATCGACGCAGGAGCGGGGCTTACTACCTTCGTGGTCACCTCGACGCGAGTCGACCAGCGGTCACTACCCACTAGCGCTCCTACAGATAATGTGACTATCGGCTCCGTTACACTGGCCTCGACACGCCAGCTTGGCCGCGCCAATAACACAACAGGCGCACCAAGCACCATCACTCAAGGCCCCGCGACCTTCATGTTCACTGGGACCCGCTTTGGGTCTGATCACACGCTGTAAGCACCCCATGTACTATTACAGCATGACGATTTGTGAGGATACCGATGGCTGACTAGAATCCAGAGTAAACCGCTGCAGCCTCAATGGCACGGTCTCGGCCGTCTGCAACCTCACGCACGTGGGAAGTGCTTGGTACACGAGGAACAAGGCCTGGAATGGAACTTACTCGACGTACAATTATACCTGGACGAGCGGTGATCGCTTTGGGTTTGCGCCTGTTACTATCACGGCTGGGGCGGAGCTTCTGGCGGCGGCAGATCCCACAGCCAGTGGCCAACCGAACGGGGCGACAAGAGGGGGAGGGCTTGGTAATGCACCGGAGATAGGATTTGCGGCCGTTATGGTGGCGGTAGCGGTTGTGTTGGGTGCTGTCGTGGTGTTGTAAGAACGGGATATGGGGGCTATGCATAAAACATGGGCCGGTGATGAAATACAGAGAAGTGGATGTGAAAATAATTGGGTTGCTCCTTTTCTTGGTGAAAAAATCTAGATGGCCATTCGTCACGTTGGGGTGTAGGTATGCCTCAACGTTCATGTTTGTCGCTGCCAACAACGTACGGGTCTCATCGGGGTGCTGTGTGAGAAACTTGAATGCAATAACGCGTGTTTTCACCGATTTACTTCCACATGCATCTCTCAATATTTATTCACTGCATCGCCACCTCTAACTTGATATCCCTCATTGCCAACACCTGACAAAAATCCCCACCCAGCAAAACAACATCGTAACCCCTGACCCCTGACCCTTATTCTCAACACACGATCTCCGCTCGCAGCCACTCCACTACGCCCGTGGATCTAAACAGCTTTTCAAGCCTCCATCACCACAAATCCACAAAAGGTCGAATGGTGTAGTTGGTTATCACGTCAGTCTAACACACTGAAGGTCCTCAGTTCAATCCTGAGTTCGATCATGGGAAAAGCAGGGTGTTCCCTGCAGCATATTTTTGTCACTTTTACTTTTCATGTTGGAGAACTGGTTTCCCCCTTTTTAGATGAATATACCTTCGTCACTACCCCTAGCACGTTTTGCCATCCCTTGTGCAGAACAGGGAGGAACAAAACCACTCGTTGGATCACCTACGATCTACCAGCCTTCCCGGAGACAGTTGAGAGTCGACACTCCACGATGTTAGGCAGCACCCAAGACGGATAGATATATTCTGAACACCGTCACTAGTTTCCGGTGTCCTTTCGTTAACTACAGGAAACTAGACACGAAATGCTTTACAAATCGAATAAAAAACGATTTATATATCCTTTCAAATACCCACGAAGAACGAGGACTACAAAAGACGAAGCTCTACTAACTACGGGTGGCATGAAGCAGTTGAAAAAAAAACGGCGATGGACTGGAAGCAAGTACATTCCCTAGGTACGGAATTGACAATCCCTTAGTCACACGAGCCCCTGAATTCACGGTCCACGGAAATGCTACTTCACAATTCCGCACAACAACTTGTACCTGACCCAATTACAGCCCCAACACAAAGGTCACTACGACTATCTCCAATGCGCTCATCGAATCATGTCCTCATCTATTGATGCGTAATCCGGATCTGCTCTATCAATGCAAACCATCCATGCATGAATGCATTGAACCGACCACTCTGCAAATAAAAAAACAAAAACCCCCAAACCACCATCTCCCCATCATCTCATACATGCCATCCCAATCATAATCATATCTCGTGCTTCACTTACTCACTCATCGCCTCATAATACACCCCATCCTCAGCCATCTGTCTCCGTAACTGCCAGTCCTGCGGGGGTAGCAACTCTCCCTGTCTCACCCTCTTCTCGTTCCTTCGCATCATCCAACGCGTAATCGATCCCCCCATCCAGCGCACCATCGATCCCCCCATCCACATCGACCCCCTCATCCCCATCAATCACCACATCCCCTTCGAAATCCGTAGTCTCATCCTCCGTCCCAGTCGTGCTGCCCCCCCCGATCGCTGAGTTCTTCAGCAAACCCCTCAAATCCTCTTCACTAACGATACTCTCAATGCTGCCGCGTCTCTCCCCTGCACCAAGTGGCGATCTCGACTCTCTCCGTCCCCGTTCCGCCAGCCTCTCCACCTTGAGTCGGTTCGCTACAAACTTGAGTTTCGGGAAGGCGCTCTGTTGTCCTTCATGGATCATACGGGCGAGACGAGCAGGCGTAGGGTCGCTGAGGATGTGGATAAAATCCGAGGTAATGCTCTTGGGCCAGATAGTGACGTTTCCTCCGAAGGTTTGAAGCCAGAGCTGAGACCAGTCTTGACCGAGGGGACGCGGCAGGAGCTCTAGCTGGCGAAGGACGCGAAGCCACTTTGTGAGGTCGAGCTTAATGTATTGCTCGGTGGCAGACCCGAGATAGCCGCCGCGCCAGCCCCGGCCTTTACGGTGCGTGACGGGTTGGCCGACGGATCCGCGAGAAGAGAAGAAGAAGAGATTGATGTGTGGGTTGACCTGGCTGACGATGGTGAAGTTGACATTGAAATGAAGATTGAGGGCCTTGATTGGGATGTCGGTCCGGAGCGAACCATCCTTCCACTTGTGCCCAAACGAGTAGGGGACAAGTTGACCTGCGCGCGTCTTCATCATGAGAACCACTGGGTTGAGGATACCCGGCACGGCAGCTGACGCGAGAACAGCCGACCAGATGACGCAATCCGGGGATGTTAGGTAGTTGCAAAGTATCGTGGGCGAATGGGGGTCGGCTGGGACGCAGGAGACATTCAGGATGCGCCCTGTACGCTCGTAGGCTTCGCGGAAGGTCATAGAGCCACGGCACCACCACGCACACTGCTTCGCCCAGTCGACAGAGTCAAACCTGGCGCCTGTCTTCCACCACCGCCGAAACCAGACCGTGATGGGTTCGCGACAGGCCGTGATGCGGTGCGCGAGAGAAGGGACAAGCAGCTCCTTCAGCTCCTCATTTGTCCGTGTAGCAACAAGACCAGCTACAAGCGCGCCTCCGCTCGTCCCTGTGATGATGTCAGGAAGGAGGTCCGCCTCCAGCAGCGCCTTGACGACACCGAAGTGATAGTACGCGAAGGTCGCCCCTCCAGAAAGACACAACGCCGTCCGACCGTAATTTGCGCAAATGCCCTTGAACATGACCCTCTTCTCGTCCTTGGTCAGCTGCTTAGTCTCAACCAAGAATTTGAGGCTTTTCTCCACTGTACCCAAAGTCAGCTTCAGTTCAAATATACGGCCCCGCTGAACCCCTATCCGCCAGCAGACTCACCTTCGTCGACATAGTTTTGCACCAGATTTTTCGTACCATAGTACGTCTGGCTGTACAACCTCGGATTCTCGATTCCCACAAAGTTATTCTTCACACACGCCTCAATCAACCCCTTCAAATCCTCGACCGCTCTCTCCCCCTCTTCCGACCCCCTTTCCACATGCTCCGCCCTCTCTCTACACCTCCTCATTTGGTCCCATACCCTCCTCACCGTCTTGCTATCATAGTACGCAAACTCATTCTCCTCCTTCCACTTCCCATTTCCAAAGAACTCATCCATCCTCTTCGCCGCCGTAACCCACTCCTTATAATTCCCCGTCGCGCGCATCGCCCGCCTCAACTTCTCCCGCTTTCCCCTCCAAGCTACACCCTGTTCGTACAGGTAGATATAGAACCTCGTCGCCAGGTACGCCACCGAAAGCCCTAGAATCCACGCCCCGACGATCAACAAGAAGGGCCACTTCAGCAGGCTGTACAGATACCCCTCGCGCGTCTCGTCCTTCGATCGGCTGCCGATGAGGCTCTCCAGCGGCATGCGCGGGCCTTTCCGGGGTCGCTTCTTCGCTGGCGTGCGCGTCCGGCGGCGCTTGGTCCCGTTGGGGCCCGGGCTGGCGAGGACTTTCTCGTAGACGGGCGCCCAGTCGCTCTGCGCGGTGATGAACATGCCGCTGTTGGAGCGAACGGGGGGGCGCGAGCTGTTGGACATTTCGGAGGCCGCGGCTGCAGCCGCGACGGACTGCGGGGTGTCATTCGTGGGAGTGTCGGGAAAGAAGCTACCAGTCGAGCTGTGGCGGAGCGATGGGCTGTGGAGGTTCATGGAGGAGGTGGAGGGAGACTGGACGGGATCCGGGGCGGCAAGGGCCTGGATAAAGGCCTCGAGGTGCTCGGGGCGCAGAAAATTGGTCTCGACATCGGGGAGGCGGGACCAGTCGAACGCTTCGGGGGAGAAGCCATAGCTGCGCGCGGGAATGGTGACATCGGGAGGCAAGGACGCGACAGCGGCGCCGGCGGCGTACGCCTTCTTGGTTGCCTTTGCGTTCTCAGCCATGGTTTTGTTGACCGACGCGGCTTCGATGCATGGCTGGGAATGAACGTTTACACTAGGCTCTCGCAATATGAAAAGTAAAAGTTAACAAATCAAAGAACGTGTGGTATGCTTTTCGGGATTGTTGCCGTTGAGCACGGGTATCCAGTCAGTGGCATGTTCGGGGTGTTGGGAAGGCGATTCATTCATCAGCCTCGGAATGACGTCGGCAAGCACCTGCAGCTTCACCCCCGAGACAGACCACCAAACCCCCAGCCGACCAACGAAAAGACGCCAAAAAGCCCACTAGATCCACTAAATGACAGCACCAATTGCCTGGACTGCCTCCACCCTTCCTCAACACCTCATGCTCTCCTGGTCGCTCTTCTGATCACTGGCACACCTGGCCCATGCCTGTACCTAGTCTGCTAGTGCACCATGAATAGGTTGTCTCTCGGCGGCAACGCCCGAAAGGGGATGCGTGTGAGAGCATTTTGTTGCCCACCAACCGAATTATTCTACCAAAGTAGTATTTTCTTGCCCAACCCAAAGTTTTTCGCTGAAACCCAGAAGTTTTGCGGAAGCAGGTGACTCTCAAGGAGCATGTGCTTCTCTCAACTTGTCAACTTGGAACGTCACCTCGCCGTGGCGAACAACTCAAAGCACCAGAAACCCAGGCCCCTGAGGGTTCGTGGATAGAGAGGTAGATCGTAGAATTCCAAAGGTATATTGTCGAAGTCATCATGTCGTAGTGCAGACTATCACCTTCCCAAACACCCCGTTCTCCGTGCCCGCGTAGCGACCACTCTGCAAAGAGTCCCTCGGCAAAAAAACCCACTTCCCGTTCCCGTCCCAGGGTCTCGATTTCTATGATCCCTGATCTACCTCCCCCCCAATACAATACAGCTCCGCCAACCATTACTTCTCTACACGTACTGCGACAACCACCGGATGCCCTCACCGTATCCCTGGCGCATCACCACCGAGCACATGAAGACCTCGATGGGTCGGATGCCGTCGAGTGGCACCTTACCCTTGCCCGTCGTTTGGTACATGCCCAGCTGGTGGCGGAGCTCATCCTCGGACACAGCGTCGGGGTGGTCGATCTTGTTGCCGAGGACAACAAAGGGAACCTTGGACAGCTCCTCCATCGCGAGGAGCGCATCCAGCTCGGCCTTGGCTTCGGGGAACCGCTCGTGATCCTTGGCGTCGACGAGGAAGACGATTCCGTTGACCTCAGGGAAGTAATCTTTCCACAGACGGCGAGCTGATTGGTAGCGGTCAGCTTGTGAGCCGCGTATCCTTTTTTAAGGCGGTTATACGCCTGTTGCTGGTGGCTCCAACGGGTCGCCACCCAGACAGCACACATAACCTCCTCCACGAAAATAACGTACCTTGCGCGTGACCGCCCAAATCGAAAGTCGTAAATCTTACGTTGCCAATCGCGAGCTCCTCGGAAGCTGTGAATCAAAACCCATCACGTCAGCCTCGTGCTCTGTAGGCACCACTCCCAATGGACACGTTTCCTTTTCCCTTGTTCTTTCCTCTTGCCGCATACGGGGAGACTCACTCGGGTGCAGCGTGGGCTGCAAGATCGCGACGCGGTCGTTCTTCAACATGTGGAGGAGCGTCGTCTTGCCAGCATTGTCGAGGCC